CGCCTGGTGCGTTCCAGCCTACGTTTTGGAAACGAACGCTCGGGCAATACTTTTACTTTAGTTTTGCTGCAAAAACGCATGACCGCACCGGCTCGCCTGGTGCGTTCCAGCCTTTGTTTTATTGTGATTTTTCGAGATTTTTATTGCGATTTTTCGGAATTTTATTGCGATTTTTCGATTTTTTCATTGTGATTTTTTGAGATTTTATTATGTTTTTTCCATGATATTCATGAGTTTGAGCTGATATTTGTTGCATGTGGGTTTTGCTCAATATCCTGTAAGTACAGACTGCCGTTTTGTTAATGTTCTTCGATAAAACTTAAAATTTTTTTCTAGCAAAATTACGTATGTGCGCGAATATCATATCGCTGATCAGGCGGCTTGTCTCAGCACTCGAGATAAACTGTATTTTTTTTTCTTTCAGATCGCGCAGATCCGGCTTCGGCGTGTAATCCGAAATGGCAGATGGTGATGTGGCCGAGGATTTACGCTTACCGCAAACTGTGATTGGCCGTCTGGTCAAAGAAGCCCTGCCAGCTGGCGTTATTATCTCAAAAGTCTCTTATTCGCATATTTTTTTTACTTTTAATGTTCCCGGGTCAGTGATTTCCGCGCCAAAATTCCCACGTGCCCGTACGTGAGCCCGAATGCTTCTGACTACCTGATTTTGCTCGTACATAAGTAGGGAACATTCCCCTAAAGTTTCAGCTTTCTAGCTTATCCCGTTCTCGAGTTAGTGGTTTTCGCGCCAAAATTTTCGTTTTTTCCAGCTTATGTTCAGCAGTGAGCTGTTTAGACTATCACTGTTAAGCTTGTTCTATATAAAGGAAAAAGTAGCCAGTACACTTCGTTCTCCTTCTCTTCTTTTTCCTTTTCCTCATTTTCTACTTTATCTTTAAATACATGCCCGGGTACAGCCTATGGGGTAAATTAGAAGTAACCCGTCCTCCGCTCCCCAGCCCCACCCCTCGCCCCGCCCCTTTTCCCCGTCCTCCTTCCCATCTACTCTCTGCGGAATCATTTTCAATTAATCCTGAGTGGTATCTTACAACATCAACCATCACCAAAAAGGCTGTCGATGATTTTCTCCAGCGAAAGTTGCCTAGGAGATAATTTCAGTCCCTTAGCTTCGAGTTTTTGTATTTTTTTTAATAAAAATTATTAAACGAATTATAATAGGAGTGGTTTTCTTAACTAGTAGCTTATTTAGCGAAATGCAGCTAAGGTGGAAATGCCTAAATTGTGCGGTAAATCGGAGCGGATTTTTGCCAAATTACGTCAAAATTCGAGTCAATCTCCCTTTCGAGGGATGCCGAAAAACCGAACTGAAATGCATAAATGTCAGTGCTGTTGTTAACGTGGGCCTATTTAGCGAAATGTAACTAAGGTAGAGTTGCCTAAGTTGCGGTAAATTGGAGCGGAAAACCAATTTAGAACTGAAATGCATGAGAATTTGTGCTGTTGTTTATAGTTTGAAAAAAATTTCTCAAAAATTGGTGAAAGCTCTTCGCCTTAGGTTACTTGGCTCCAGTTCTACGTCATTACTCGTCTGTATCGGTTATCGCAAATACTCATAGCTCTGCAGAAGTTAAGCAAGTTGATTCTCGAGTTTCATGTCGAACTGAAGGCCAAATCCCCTTCAAACTGGTTGTGTGCTTATTTAAATTAGAGCATTTTGCATGATGATTTTGCAGGATGCGCGAACGGCAATAGCTCGTGCGGCAGCAGTTTTCATTCTACATGCCTCAACTTATGCGCAGGAATGTGCTTTATCGAATAAACGCAAAACAGTTACAGCAATGGACGTGTTAAATGCAATACGTGTATTGGAATGTGAAGAGTTAGAAAAAACGGTAGCTTTTTTACCCCTTTTCTCCTCCCCTCCCCCTACCATTCTCATTTCATACCTTAATTTTGCCACATAGCAGTATCCGGTTGAAGAGGTAATACTGTGGAATTGCTGTGGATTTTTTATATTTTCAATGGTCTTTGTAATGTAAGGGCAATACCAAGTGCATTGGATTAGTATTTTTTCCCGTTGTTACTGCTAATTTGTCTGTCGCCTGACCTGTCATATCCTGCCTGTCAGATTCTACTTTCTGGGGGCTCTGTAGTTTGAAATTGAGGGGGGGGGGGAGGGGGGCTGTAGTTTATCGAACTTAATAGCTGTTGCTTCGTAGCATTTTACGCTCTTTTGGTGTAATATTACTTCTAATACGGGGGAAAAGCTATTCAGATCTTCTTGAAAGCGATAGTTTCAGGTGAAGGAAGCTGTGGAAGTTTGGAAGACAAACAGGCAACAAAGGAATGAGGATGCGAAAAAGCGGAGGTGTGAGCGTGCTCAGAATGCCGAGCCCTCTGCGGTGGAAGTCCTGGAAAATGTCTCGCAAAATAGCGAAACCCCTGTGCTTGGAGGGGCGAATGCTGGCAGCAGTATTTCTGAAGAACCTCAGGCAAAGAAGATGTTACTTGATGTGGCCATGGAGCCAGGCAATGAAGTCTGAAATGAAGAAGTAACGGGAAGAAGATGTTGCTCTTTCAGTCATCTGTTATAGAAATTTTTCTTATTATTTAAGTATTTTTACGAGAAAAAAGCGGATTTTTTGTTCAGCTCAATTTCTCAGTTTTTTAGATATATGTGTTACTGCATCAGATCAGTTTTTGCAAAGTAGCCAGATCTAGGAAGATATAAAAGCAGAGAGCCTGCAGAGCGGCCAGATCGACCTTTTGAGCCCTTTAGCTTCGTGTTGATTCATAATTTTCTCACCAACGCTTCCTTCGGTATTGATATTTGAGGGCAAAAACAAAAGGATGGGTACTAACTGAAGGCATGCAACTCACATTGGAGGCGTTGATTTTCACGCGAGTCCTCATTGCTTTGAACATACATTTACAGTTTTTTGTCTAGTATTTTTTGTGTTTTTTTCGTGTAGTTTTTGATATGATTTAGCACAGTATTATTTTTTCATGCCTCATTTTTGTGACTTTTTTTTCAATGAACTACGGAATGCTGCATGGTTTTATTCTAAAAAGCTTTTGTAAATATATGATCAACGAGTTTTGTTTCATTTTCAGTT